TCACAATGCCACCTGGATCAGGAGTATCAAGCTCCTCGAGACCTACAGGCTAAATGAGGGTTGCTGGTCCTGTCTGCATGCCAGTTTTTTTGGTGCCCTAAAAAAGTTCCTTTGTGTTATTTTTTTCTATATGATCAAGGCCAGATTTTAATTCCTTTATTTCTGTAAGAGCTGAGGAAGTTAATTTGAAAGTTTGATACATTAAATGAAAAAGGAGCATTATACACTTGTTTCTGGACATGCAAAAGAATTGTGATTTTTTTTTTTTTTTTTTGAAGGCCTACATATTCAGAAGAGACTATTGTTTTGTAGATACCTCCACTTAGGGTGGTCTTTTTGGGGATACCAAAGAGGGATTTGACTCTTCAGTGAGGTATTGCTCAGCTCTTCTGAAAATGAGGCCGTTTAAGGTTGTCTGTGATCCCTGTAATTTGATCACCATTGTCTGTGCCCTTTTTGTACCCCCAGTCTTTGGGTCACAGCTGGACACAGCACAAAGATTTCCATTTCCTGTTTTTTTTTTCCTGCAGGTGTGACGTCTCGGCATGCTACAAACCCAGGGACAATGAACCCTCTGGAACGAGGAGATCCTCTTCATTTCATCTTTCTCAAGACCCTTCTGAGTTTTGTTCTCTTCTGTGCTTGCCCATTGTCACCTTTAGTGGAGCACTGCCATAGAAAATCCTGCAAGGCCAGGCTGACATGCAAGATCTCACTTTGCTTCAGACCATCCAGACTTGCATCCAGTGCATCATGGTATCTGTGAAAGCAGTCTCCTAGAGGAATCCTCCTCCATCAGGTTGGAGACCTAGATCTTTCCACCAATGACATCCTGGAACCTAAAGCATTAGTACAGTGGACAAGCTGTTCTTAGTCTGGATATCTAACATGCATCTGAGAAAGACTAAGGTCCCTCCAAAGGTCTGGTTGTTGTCATGATACCAGGCTCTGGGACAGAAGTGATTTCCTGAAAATCTCTAGATGGTGCTGCAGATCTCTGGTTGGAAGGGGTGGGGTAAGAAGAGTTGAGACACCTTTTCTGACCAAGGATGAGGAAATGGTGGTGAACTGTATTTGAAAGAACCTTGCAACTAGTGCAGATACTGGGGAGAATATGATAGATGGACATAATGAGGGACATACAAGGATAAAGAGATTTTTACTGACCATAGGGTATAAAGTTGCCTTAAATGCCTGGTGAGCTGCAGACTACCCTTAGACTATTCTGAAGATGCTTCACCCAGAGCAAAGTTGGGTTCACCTTCAAAATTACAAATTATGTGGGGTTCAGAAACATGTTCACCCTTAAGGGGGGTTTTTTTGTGGATGGGACTTATTTGTCCTATAGGTTGGTCCATAGAGATGACTAGATTAGGGCTAGAAAGATGATTGTGGCTTAGTGGTCATGCCAGTGATCTAGTGCAATAGGTTATATCTGGGGTTATTTTATGCACCAAATGATAATTACTGTAAAACCAGGTCACCCAAGTGATTATTTTCTAAAAACACAGTTCCTGAAGGAGACAGGCTCCCCTTATCAGATAAATGGCCCTGTATCCTGCTTACCTGCACTGAATCTTACCTTTAAAAGAGCATGAAAAGGTAAAATGTGATACTTGCTTTGAGTGCTGTTGAAAGAATTACACTCACAAGAAGGTAGTTCATGGGACCAGGAGCCAAATACTGGGCAAGCCACTGTGCTGAGTGTGAATGAGTTCAAATGTAACAGAGAGACAGATTTGCTGCAGACTGCCCTGGGATCAAAAACACTAGTGACACCTACAGTAGATATAAGATGCTGAACTCTGCATTTCTTTCTCCAACAATCCAAGGAAAGCCTCTTAACTTCCTTTTTTCCAGTTATAAGGCTATAGGTACAAAGTGCCAGAAAGGTGCAATACCTGTGGGTGCTGTCTGACCACAGAGACAATAAGAGGTGGAAGAGTTTGTTAACCTTCTCAGTGAAGTAACTATTTGCACACACACGTGGCTGTGCTTCCTGGCATGGTCACTGCTTGGCTTGTTGGTTCCTAATGTTAAGATGGGCTTGGTCAAGTGTCCCCTGCTAAAATGGCCTTTACCAGCCAGAAGAGGATCACTGCATTGATGGTCTTCCTCCATGGCTACTGGGATTGGCTTGGCCATGTAGAGGTCAGTTCAATGACCTTTGAAATCAGAAAACATGGGATTTATTTTGCCACTGGTTTCAGTGGGAACAAATTCTTAGTGAGTGCATGTTGCATCTGTATCTGCCTTTGATTTTATTATTTTGAGACATTCAGTAGTTGAAGGATTAACTTGTATAGAGATGTCAGGAGCCCTTTTGCCCTTGGTTGCCTGAGATACGTGTAGCCCAGGCCCGTGTGCCTGAGTTTCTTCTCATCCTTCCCAAGAGGGCTTTGTACCCAGTGTATTTTTGCTGGGGTCTTGCTGAGGTTTTCTGTAGCTACAGCTCAGAAGCAAGCGAGCTGCACTCAGAAATTCATGTGCATAAATGGGGGAAATAGAGGTTATCATAGGCTTCTTACGTACCCCTCCCCATTTTGTTTTGTTTGCATTTTAACCCCCTCAATTCCCAGCATTCTTTGCTCCAACCAGAAGGCACCTCTCTCCAGATTTTTAATGGATCCTTTATTCCAGCTGTGCTGCATTCAAGTCAGCTAGAAGGGATACTGCTGAGAAACTTGATTTGTTGAAGTACTTAGAAGGAAGGCAGGTTTATAGTATTCCAGGTCCTGCAGGCCTTGGGCAGCAAGGAGTCAAGGCCCTCATTCTCAAAGCCCCAAGCTGGTTGAGCTTTGCCCCTGAGATGTTGCTCAGTGGGTACTCTACACAGCACAGATGCTTCCCACGTGTCATCCATGTGGACTAACTACCACCCTGTCCATCACTTTGAGGACTGGCTGTTTTTGAACACATTTTCTGGTCTGGAGGTTAAAATGGGAGTGAGAACTCCCACTTATGGTATGAGACCTAACAGCAAGTTACTGCTTCTGAGCTTTTCTGGGGAGCGAGAGGAGAGATTAAGACCTTCATGGAGCAAGCCCTCTCTGCTAGGCATAGATCCAAAAATGGTGCCTTTTCTAAAAGCCTTGTAATCACTCTGTTGTTAGCCTTCAAGCATCCCCCTTCTCCCCTGCCCAAATTTCCACTCTTGTTATGTGCATGAAGACCTTGGATGTTTTTCATCTGCATCCTGGAGGGCTCTGAAAAGTGCCTACACAGGGCTGAGGCCTGTGTTTCTTCTCCGACTGCTTGAATAATGCCATCACTAGGTATTATAAAGGAAGACCTTGCATGCAGTGAAGTGGGTCTCAAGTCTGTGGCATCATGTGGCCCTGCACCAATGGGAATTCCTGGTTGCAGGGAAACTTGCTTCTATTGCATAGCTGAACCTTCAAGAAGGAGCCAGCTCCCCATATTATATCTATGGAACCAAGAGCATCTACACCCTTAATTTATTATTTGCACATAATAAAACCCCTCTAGTTTTGTTCTCAGTGATCAGTCCAAAGAAAATGCCAAGCTGCTATCAGCTTGCAACATGAGTGGCAAGAGCTTTCTCCTCTCTGAAGGAACTGGGTCATTTTAAAACCACTTTCACAGAAACAGCCAGAGTGCGTGAGTGAGGTCACTAACCCACACAAAGATTTGAGGCCCCAAAACAGAAATTGGGTTTGATACACATCCCTTCAGTTTCCCCCTGTAAAATAGTCGTGTTGTTTTATTGCACTATACTCTAACTTCAGCCTATCAAAGGACTCAGTAAAGTCTTTTTTAATGGATCTTTTATTCCACACATTTGGAAAATATTTTCCTATTGACTTTTAATTTTTTAGCAAACCATTTGACTTTTTTTGTCTGTTGAACAGTTGAAATGTCGCAGCTGGTCTTGTTTGTTTGTTTTAACACTTTTAAACAACACCTCTACTTGTCAGAATGCTGTTCGTGATCTTAGCAACCATGACTAAATATATCCTTGTCCCCACTAATGGTGCAAATGTTGATGCCTCAGCTGGCCCCTCAAAAATATCAGAAAATAGAATTTCCCTGTGATGAAGAAAAACAAGCACAAACCCTATGGATTTATAACCCTGTTCCATTTTACGGTCTTAGATTTGTTTTAACGATAGAACTTTTCAGGCTAAGCTGTACATATGTGAAACATCAGTAAGTTTGTGTAAGTAGCTGTGCTGATTTGTAAAATATTGTTCAAAGAACTTCTAAGATAATTATTAAATGTTGATTTATTTCATGTACAATGTGAGTGAAGTGTCTGTACCAGCCAGGTCCTGAGTGGGAAAGGGAAACTGGAATAGCTGGTGCTAAAAGTCCCCTGCAAGGTTTAAATTCATGGCTTATCAACCTAAAAACAATGGTGCTACTGTGTTTCAGCTAAAGTATTATACCTTTGATTGACAGCAGTGGAAAGCTCAAGGCCCGGGGACCCAGGCAGTAGAAAAGGTGAAGATCTACAGTGGGTTGTACATGTTTTTCTATAAGCAAAGAGCAACCAGTTCAATATCAGTCTAAACTTACTTTTATATCGGACTAAGGGGGAAAAAAAGAACAAAAAATTGTCAAGTGAGAGCACACTGTGGGCTGCCCCTGTTCTGCAGATAAATATGGGATTTATTCTCCAGGGTTGTAAAATGTGTCACTCCTTTGACCATGAATAAAGTGCTTACAAGTTGCATAATAAAGCATTGGAGTGAGAGAATGGATTACTGCTTACAGAAACAAATACTTCACTCTCCGTGAGTGATAGACTATGAATGCTTCAGTAAGTTTTGGACAAATGGTGTGTTTTGAAGCTATCTCCAACCTTCACCTCAATGCATCTGCCCAGAGTTGTTTTTAGGACTGAGTCAGTACTGTAAAAATACCCTAAAATATTTTTGTAATTTTTTAATTTGTATTAATAATTTCAAGTGTATATATCTCTATTTGTTGCTTTCCTACTCCATGACTATTCAAGAAAACAAGCTGGTTGGAGAAATCTGGGGGAGTAGCACAGTTTCACAAACTTGAAAAAAATGCAGTTTTTATGGACAATATGAACAAAAAGAAGCTATTTCATTTGCAAACTATTTATTATGAATTAGATATTCATCTTGCTTCTAATCAGAATGAATAAAGTTTCACCAATTTTAAGGTTTTTTTAAAAAAAGTTTTAGTTTCTTTTGAACTCTTTCAAAGAAAAGCTGGGTTGTTTTTTCAGTTTTCAGGATTTTGTTTTGTTTTATTTTGTTTAGGAGACTTTTTCCCCACTCTCCGCATTTTCCCCTCCTCCCCACTTTTTTTAGAGAGAAAAAAATAAGTGAAAGACAAGGGGTGGAGGAGGAAACAAGCCAACATGGAGTTGTGGCATTCAATTAAAAAATGAATGCAACAATAAGTTCTTGTTTCATTCAAAATTTGGTTTGGAAAATGCCTGCTTTTTTTTATAAGTTAGTTCTGCTACTCAAAGCACTGTTAGATACTTTGCTTCCTGCTGTTATGCAACAGCAGGGATTTAGTAATATGCTTACCAGTAAAGCTATAGTTATACCATCAAAACCACCTTGTTCAGGTGCCCTTGTAATGGTAGAACTTTAGTTCCTATACAGCTGATGCCAATTCCATGAATGAAATACTGGTAAGCTGTACCAGCAAAAAGCACTTTTATGCTGCTAAAACTATCTCTATGCAAGAAATGTTTACCAGTGTATTGATGCAGAGGTTTTGAAGATACAGCCTGTAGGCCAGATCGAGCCTGTGGAGCCCTATCATCTGGCCCACAGAGCTATCCATTAGCTTTGGGCTGGACTCATAAGCTGCATGTGCAGCATGTGCCAGATGTGGCATGTGTGCTGTACGTGCCACACAGGACTGGATCTGGTGCATGCTGCATGTGGCAGCCATGCTGGATCTGGTGGGGGCCAATCCGGCCTGCAGACTGCCTTCATGCTCCTCATCCAGCCCATGGGGCCTGATGAATTTAACACACCTGCATTCATGTAAGAAAAATACCACACCCCTAAATAATATTGTTCCATCAGCAAATGTTTCTAGTTTAGATCTGGCCTAGACCCCTGCATTGCTTTGAAATCTTCCTCCTCTTTGCACCTTGTGTTTCTGTTTGTAGCAGAAATGGACACCTATACACGGGACAGACCTCTGCTCCAATGCATGCTAATTAGCACGTGTCAGAACAGACTCAATCAAGTCTGCTGTGAATCTGCTGGAACGTGCTAATTTGTGTGCTCCAGCAGCCTCCGCATCACATGTATTCAGTGTCCCGACATTTCAAAATGGCAGCAGGGGTGCTTTAACTAAAGCTCATTAAACAAGCTTTAGTTAAAGCGCCCCCCACCACCATTTTGAAGTGTAGGATGCTGAAAATATATGATGCTCTAAGAGCTGCTCTAATTAAAGTGCCCCCCCTCCAGCCCAGAGCACATGTATAGATGCCCAATGAGCATTACCTTCCTCAATTTATGATTGGGGCTAAGGATTCGGCTTTAATTTGTCTCAGTATTTATGCCTGAACGGCACGTGTAAACCAGGACTTATCTGAATGGGGCTGTAGCACCTTAAAACCACAAGCCACCTTTCCAGTAAGAAGCAAAAACTTAGGACCAATTTGGTCCTATTTCCCTTGATGCACCTAAATGGCATGTGCACTGCTGCATGACAGCAGTTTCGGATGCTTACGCATAGCTTGCGACTCAGCTTTGGTGACAGAGCATTAAGGAGCATGGTCAGCAGGTCTGCACTCTGGCCAAGTTGTAGGGGGAAAAAGAACCACCTGGACATCAGTGTCAGGCCAGACCAGTCCCAAATTTTTGGTCAAATCACAGCAAGGAGGTGAAGTAGGCAGTTTCAAAAGGAAGGCTGGTTAAAGTGTGTTGCTAGGAAGGAGATACAGATTCAAACACTTGGTGAGGGGGGCCTGGAACCTGAGTCTCCTTCTACCCAGGCACTGAGCTAAAATATCAGAGACCCTCCTCCTCTTCCTCCTCTCTCTTTCCAGCAGGAGGTAATGCAAAGTGGTTTCATGTTGCTGCAAAGGATAAAAGGAACTCCAAACTTTTAAGTGCCCCAAACTGGTTATGTAATAGCTGCCTGCAAGCCATTGAGGCACATAAAGCAAAATAGTATTTAGGCCTCTGTGTGAACAATAAGCAGCTGCCACACCTTAATTCTAGCAGTTTTATAGTAGGAAGAAACAGGTTCAGCATACAAATGGCAAGTTAGCCACCAATCCCTCCCAGTGTCGAAGGCAGGGTAGAGTAACACCTTAAACTAACCGGTTTGGAGAGGTCTAAGCTTTTATAGGTGAGCTTGCTTCATCAGATGGTACGAATGGACTTACAGAAAGCAGGGGTTTTAAATAGAAGGGATTTAAATACAAAGAATAGGCAGAGAGGGAGGGTTTGTCCCTCTTACAAGTGACCCGTCTCCCTACCCTTAAGCCTTTCTAAACCAGTGTCTAATTGCCACCCTGCCCTGCTGTCTGCCTGACCTCTTACTTCCCGCAGCATAGAATAGATTGAGAACCAGGAACCTAGAACTTGTTAGTTATACCGGAATAGTTATATAGCTTTTCCAGTAATTTTCCCTGAATAGACAAGCCCTTAACCACAAAGCTCTAGAAACACCCCCCATAAATTAATATAAATAAAGGCATTCGCAACATGATCCTCCCAAGGGCAAAGGGCCTATGTCCTGTTCTGTCCCAGAACAGACCCTCTTTTGTTAGGTATATTCTGTAAAATCCTATGGGGGAATCCCTGTTATAAAAAGTTCCTTATAAAGGAGCACAAAGCATCTAAATATTCATCGAGCAAGAGCATGAGAATGACTTGGGACACTTACCTGGAAGGCAGGGTGCCTGGGTTTCAGTCCTTGTGCCCTGACTACTTCATTATTTACATGAAGTGAAACAGCATCAATAGGAGAGAATGAGGGTAGTGGTGGTGACTAGCACACCCAGTGAAAAAGGGAAGCAAATGGGAGCTCTGGAAGAAGCCCCAGGCCAAGTTGGACAGGCAGTCCTCTTTTGTTTGATGGAACTAATAAATTTGTGCACCTTGCTTGGTTTGGTTGTAGGCGCTGTTTGTGTGTGTGGTGTAGGGGAAGGTATCTGTAAGTACCTTTGGCTTTGATGCTGAGAGTTTCCTGCATCTAATCACAGCTATGGCAAAATAAGGGAAAAGGGATGAAGATAACCAGTTCTAGGCAGAAGGTTTTAAAAGTTAAGCCATACCATTCTGTAAGGCATGGTGTGATTTCATCTGTAATAATTCATGCAATTCTGATCACTCACTGTAACTGAGATGAACTTGGACTGGGACAAGGACAGAGAACAGCTACATACATTTTGTAACAGGCTGGTACACACGCATGCTAAGTGTTCCCTGAGATGGTTGTAGTCATTTCTCAAAGCATTTCATAGTGCCGTGCTCCCCTATTGGCCCCCCACCAAACCCCTCTACCAGCCAGCTGGTTCCGAGCCATTGCTCATGTCACTTGAGCTGGACTCTACTGTCCCAGGGGTCATAGGTCACATATGATCTTACTCCCATACTTCATTACTCATGATGTGGCCCACTACCTAGTAATGGGGTAGGGGTATCACCACTACCAATACACCGCTGATCATGAAGGCACACACTGTAAGGGCTGGGGCATAGGCCTAGTAATTAGGTCACCATGGGAGGGCCAGATATAGGAGTCAGAGTCCAAGATACCCACAACAGAGGGGAATTCCAGGAGCAGAATCCAGGTGGCGAGAATTTCAGGTGGCTTTTAAGGGCGGGAGCAGATGGGGCTGACTGCTTGTGACTTTAGGGGATGTGGTGGTGTGATTTCCTCAGCCCAGCTGGGACCAGGGCATTGCTCTGGGCTTGTTGCAGGTGACACTTGTCAAGGGACGACTTGCCTCAGTCTCTTGATTGAGATTGACTGGGTCCAGGGTTTTGGCCTGTCCTCATTATAGGGTTTGGACTACATGACCTCCTGAGGTCCCCTCTGGCCCTTTTCTATAATATTGCATCCCCTACACTTAATGCAAAATTCCAAAAGTTTCCATTCCTTCTCTTGGTATATTAATACAGTTCTGTATATACCTAGCCAACATCAATATCATTACCAAATTACTTGAATCCTCATACCTCTTGTCATTATCATGCATATGTTCTGGACTCTCTGACCCCATCTTAACAATAAACCTTAGCAATTAATATCAATAATCAACTATATCACAGATCTGGAAAGTCCAAGTTTATAAGTATCTTCCAAGCCTAAGGCAGCGAGGTCAGCTTTTGGTGAGGCCTGCTTCAGCCAGGGTACATCTACGCTTTGCCCTACAGCGACATTGTTGCTGCAACATGCTTTAGTACTTCCTTTTGGAAGTACTAAAGCATGATGCAGTAACTTCTCATACTGCACCATATGTGCACCACACCACTATTTTTAGCAGCTACTTTGCCTATAGCGGCACATTATAATGGGGGAGTAGTTGCTGGTCATGTGTACACACTAGTGGATGCTACATCGCTGTAACACGACGT